TAAAAAATCTCCCCCCTCCTATTTTATAAAACCAAAAAGTATATTTAAAAAAAAAAAAAAAAAAAAAAAAAAGCATGTTAGTACTCCTCTTTGCAAGTTAAATAAAATTCAGGAAAGTCCCACAGTATACACAGTTGTAAGGTGCCTTCAAGAGGGCATTGTGCAAGTATGACTGTCTGTATAAGGCATCCAAAAGAGATGGCAGGGACAAGAAGTTTCTCCTATCAACTTCAACATGATTAGAATAGCCTTAATTTTGATGTAGACCAGACAGTGTTATTTTTCCCATCACTTCAGCAATGAAGGACTGTTTATTTTTAAAGGATGGCTGCTATAGCAGCTGTTGTCACTAAGCCCAACCACTTGTGGATATCAGCCTGGAAGCTTTCATTCCTTCCCTTACTCCTCCCTCCTCGTTCCAGAAAGCCAGAATTGTTTTAATGGGCTATCATCTGGTGAGCCCACTGGCACATTCACAAACCTCTGGCTGTCAAATGGCGAGATCAAGCCAAAAAGTAGAATTCATAATTGGACTTGTGATCCTAAGAACTTTGAAGGAGAAATTTAGCACATTAAAAGAACTGCTACAGGCAATATCTTGAGGTGTTTGCCAACCAATCACAAAACTGTCCAACCAGCCACTGTCAGTTCATTCAAGCTAGAAGAGCATGTCTTGCATTGTTCAGAAAGAAAAAATCAACAAAATATTATTTGACCAGTGCTCAGAAAATAGTCAATAAAACTGCCTTGAATTTAAACTTGCAAATGTATTCACACCACCGAATTTGGAGGTGCAGAGGAGCAGGTGGAGGTGGGTTTTCTTTTTTAACTAGTAGTCCACATATTTTCCTGAAACACTGACAGAAAGTAGTTGAGACATGAGCTTGATCATGAACTTATTTCCTGGTATATTAAGTTAATTTTTTTTTTTAATTTATTATTTTAATAGTCAAACAAATGCTAGCATAGATTTGTAACAAAGCAATAGGACAGGACAGAATAGTTTAATGATTACTTCCATACAAACACAGTATTAATGTCCCATAAAAAAAAGCAAACAAAAAACCCAGAAAACAAAACACCTCAATTTCTTATAACCCAATGCACAAGAATTCCAGCTTCTCAAAATCAGACCTGCAACACCAACTCATTTATAACCAAAGACACACTGACTTTACAAAGCTGTATGCATTATCATTTACTAGGTTTGTCTATTGAATTTCCTTTAAGGAAAAGGATGTTTAAAATGACATGCTACAGAGGACTTTCTCATATTCGCAGCATAGAACTATCTAATCCTTAAATTCAAGATTCAAATTCTGTATTGTGTCAGCTGAAAATACTAGGAAAAAGAATAAATATTTTTATTTGTATATCAGAAAGAGAAATCATATTTACGGAATTAATTGGTTAGGTCATTTTGTGATGGCAGATAAGGAAATTTTGTGTTAAATAATGGCAATGACCAACATGCATAATCCACATGTATGCTCCTTCAAAGTACAGCAAAGCAGACTAATAGTTAAATGGACAGGAAGCTACTAGTCTTTTTTAAGTTCCAGACAACAATTTAAAAACCCACAAATAACAACAAAAAACATTTATTATATAAGCAGAAGTAATAAGAAGTGCATTGAATGCTTGTATTCAAGTCATTCTTTCACATATAGACAAACTGTAAACTAGGATTATATCTCATTATCTTTCTTGACTGGTCTTTTTTTTGTGTAGAAGAGAAAAACACAAAACCTAATCTTTCATTCCTTTCTCTGTCTCCTGTTCCTTTCATCTCTCTGGTACAGAAATTTGTTATCCCACACTCACAGCTAGCAGTTCACAGTAATTTTTGGATGTCATCATTTCCTCACATAAGGTCTCATTAGGCCACAAAAAGAAGCTCCTTGCTATGTTCACATCTAACAAATGCATAGCAAGCATATTTAGCTCCTCCTGTTTCTCATACAGAATAACTTGTGAAGTTTTTTCCAGTCTATCCAATGCACATAATTTCTCTCAGGCACTTGGTTATAAAACTGCCCGGAATCCTATCTATTTTCTGTCAAAATCTATAGCTCTTGCAATTACACATTAATCTATAGCTCTTGCAATTATACATTAATATTTTGATCATGTTTGACTAGAAATGCCTCAAGTCCATTCCAGTGCAGTGTTCTCTCTTAATTCCATACATCCATGGGAATAGTTCCCCAACTTAATAACTTCCTCCTTTGGCTTTTGAATAGTTAAAATAATCCTCACAAATGAGGAAAATGGCTCTCACTCCCTTTCTCATGTTTTTGTATTGTTGTGAGGTAATGCAACTAGTCTGGATCCTTGTTCAGCTTTATCTTGTCTGTTTGTAGCCTTTAGAAGCTGCTGCTCAAACGATTCAATGATATCAGAAAAGTTTAGCTTTTCTAGGCATTTACCATATAGCTAGAAGGTGCGATCACTGTGCAATCAAGAAGGTACAGGTAAGAAATCCATGGCAATACCAAACTTCTTCAAAATCTGCATTCATTGTCATACAGAAGTACATTGCCTTGATGATGATGGCAAACTCCATAGGATAGTTCGAGGATCAAGCATTGTCCCCCTTAATTACCTTTCTATATCACAGATCTTTTCCAGCTGTTAGTGATCACTAAAAGACACTATCTCCTCCTGAGCCTTAAAAATACCAGCCTTCAGGCTGGTCAAAGCTCCCACCTATGACATTCTAAAATTAAGTGCAAACTGAATTTAAACCAAAACCACATCACTCCACATCTATGTGAAACCATCACAGTTCTTTCTTTTCACAAGTTTGAAATTAATTTCACATTATGTTTTCCAAGTGATTATACTGGACACTCTGGACTAAGAGGAAACAGGTCCAAAGTGTGGGAATTCTAAAGAAGGATATCTGAAACCTTTCAGTTTCAAAAAATTAAGTGGCGCTGGGACTGTTTTCCAAGCAGACCAATCAACACAAATTGGAAGCCAACGTATCCAGTTCTACCCAGAGAATATGCAAATGGCTTATGAAGACCATGAAGCCTCTGTAGCGTGGCATGGAATAAGTAGACTCTAATGAAATTTAAGATCTTAACTTCAGGATGTATTGCAATCCTTTAACTTTTACATTGACAAAAGGAACAATGACAATTCTTAGCAATGAGCAAAGATTGGTTGCCTGAAGAATTTTTAATTCAAAGCAGAGGTCACTGAATATGCCATCAGAATACATCTGAGGTAATAAACAAGATTGGTATAAGACTTGGATAAATATTTGTTTAGAAATGTAAGAGAAAATAAGATGCAGCAGCAAAGAACAGAAGGCTTATCTTGCCAATTGCTTTAGTCTCCTGACAAAGCATCTACTGTTATCTGCAGATGATAACTGTACTAAGTGGATCTTCAGAGAATTTTACCTGAAGAGCTTAAAAAAACCTGGCAATAAGTGATAAAGAATTACAAGCCTTGCTATGATCACATTCATATCTCTATATAGGCTCATAAAATGCTCTTGTCTCCTTGGCAGTTTACTATAAAACGTATTTTTTTTCAAGTCAAATTATTCACTTACCTTCAGAGTAACTGCAGTTGCCTTGATAATGAAATCATTTACAGATACTTTAATGTCATCTGCAAAAAGGAAAAAAAAAAAGACAACAACCACTGCTTGTAAGATCTGTTTATCAGCATTTGTGTGATGACAAGATTCCAGTGAATCAGCCGATTTGCTTCTTTGCAACACTGCCAGAAAGTCATCTTTAAACTACAGTCATAAAAGCAAGAAAACCTTTCTCTCCCTTGGGACAAAAGGAGTATCATCAACAAAAAGTCTCCTGAGCAAAGACATTCTTGCTAGCTGTTACTAGAAGGTCAAAAAAGCTGCAAACTTGAGTGTTACTACTCATTCTTATAAGTAGCAGCCCATATGTGTTTTATGCTTTACATATTTACTGTCTATGTAGAAATCTACTGTAGGATCTAAATATACAGAGACAATACTGGAGACTACTATTCTTTATGTAGTGTGATGCATAACTGGAATAATTGTGGAGATCAGCTTTTATTCAGCTATAAATCAGAAGTATGCTATTCTCCAGTAACCTTTGGGGCCTTGTAATGTAAGAATTAGCAGGGTGAAGGCATCTGTCAATCCTTAAAATGGGCTAACAATATATTCTAAAGCAGGCTGCAAAATAATATGAGTGACAAAGTTGTTAAATTAAAAGCAAAGCTACATACAAAAAAAGGCAGCATTAGCCAGAAGCAGATAAAATAACCTTGAGAGGACTGGATTTTTTTGATGTGAGCCTAAAAAATTCTGCGTAACACTTAATACATTTGCTTCCTTTCCCTAAAAGCTCGGGAGAAAGAAGGGATGGAAACAATGGCTGTATTTGCACTGCATTATTTTTTTTCCAAGTTTTAGGAGACTTGGAAATTACGAAGATTAGGACTGGCAGAAGCAGCAAAGACTATAGATACAATGCAGACTATGCCAGAGTTGCTACAAGATCATCCTGAAGATGCATAGTATTTACACAATATTAAATGCATAATTCTCACAATAAAAAAAGCTTACATTACCACCATCATCACTGTTGTCAGCTGAATAGATTAAGAAGCAAAACTACTTCATTTTCGAGTCTGGGTTATGGCATGTAATACATATACCTTTAGAAATGCTTTTGTAAAGGGAAAATTATTTATAGATAATTATATTAAGTGAAGTCTTCTTAAGTTATCATAAATTTGGAGGAATGAACCAAGTATCCACTTACCACATAACTGACCTGCAACATTTGCCATGATTAGCAATCTATGCATAAGAGAGCCAGAATTCTAACGTAACACAATGGAATTTGCAAGTACTATGTTGCATTAACAGAATTTCACATCAGACAAACCTGTATCTTGGTCATCAAATATATTTTGGTATTTTGTATTTTGATTTATATATTATATTCTTAACCCTTGGCAAAAATGTCACTGTCCGCTAGGGGGCAGGAATACAGTGAAAATATAGGAGTACAGTTAAACAAAGTATGTCTGATAATATTTTACCTTCAATCATTGAAGTTTACAGTAGGAATAACTGCTGTATTTTACCCCCAAAACAAAGCAGCTTACAGTAGGGAATGCTCCATAAAACTTCCACATTACATCTCATCATGTAGTAGAAACCACCACCAGAAAAAAACAAAACAAAACCAAACCACCCAAACATCTACCAGGACAACCTCTGCAATTCAATTTTATGCAAAGACATATGGCTCTTTCCCATCCCTACATTTAAAAAAGAATATTCATTAAGAATCCACAGCAGCAGGAGAGGTGTGAAAAAATTTAAGGCAGCATTCCTAAGACAAGTTTTTACTTCATTTGTTATGACCTGCTGCTGGTTTAAAGAAAATATCAACATTATAAATTGTCTTTGACATTAACTTGTGAATAAGATATCATTAAAAAATAAATCAGGTAGAAAGGTGACCTGGGTACTCTTGCATTAAAAAGCAGACATTCAAAACTCCAGTGAAAGGAGAAGCAGCTCCTATATCATCATCTAGAAAATCTGAATATACCAGTCTAATTTAATTTAGGACCTCACAAATGGATAAACAAGTGAGGGCTAGCCACCAGTACATAAGAACAGCCCTCCAATGTCAGCATTCTAGTCCCTAGGTGTACAGCTCTGCGACACTAAGCTGAGAGAAAATTCACTCACAGGGAAAGCCTCGGGAACAGCAAATGACTATGAAGTACCCTACCACTTCTGGAGGCCTTATGTCTCATGCTATAATGCCACATCAAAAGATCTCTATATTGGGATAGCCCCAGAAAAAACAAAACAGTCTAAATTTCTAGAAATACCTGGTTGCAAGCAGATCTTTTGTTATATTAACAAAAACATGGTTCAAGGAGAGACAAAAGAGTATCAACTTCTTTGTCAGACAGGCATATCACTACATGAACACTTCTGTGTGTCTAAAACCTAGCTGATGCCTCTGTATACAGAATCTTTCAAGGCTAACTTCATTAGGTTAACCTTGAAAACCCTTTTCTACACATCCACGTGATAACCTCTTCATGTAAAGAAATTTAACTTGGACCTTGAAGATACTTTTTGATGTTGCACTGTGATAACAACAAGCTGTTTTTTAACCTTGCCCCAGAGGCAAAGCTTTCAGTAAATCAAAAATCCTTCTACTGTTGAGCACTAGCATCTAGATGACTCAAGTGGGGGAACCCTATTAAAGATTTAAGCTGGAAGAGATGCCACATATAAAAGCTATAGCATTATTCTGGGGTGGAGGGGGTGGGGCAACTACAAAAAACCTGCCTACCTACAGCTATATCTGGAATAACATACAGTGAATATTGGATGGCTAATGTGCCTGCCTTTCCCTGAATGCAAGAATATTACTCATTTGAGTTATGTCAGTCTTGTCATACAAAACATTTACAGATTGGACCAAGAAAACTTCTGGAGACCTAGGTACTCTGTCTAGGGCAACTACAGTACCATTTTTTTGTAAAACAAACAAACAATAACCCCCCCGCCCCG